TCAACTTTGTAGGTTTAGGAGTGGAAGGCACTGATTTACAGGGTTCTTCTCTTTCCTGAAAAGGAAGTTCCAATCAATGGTAGTAGGAGGGGAGAGGTCATGCCCTAGGCTTCTCTGTTATGGAATGCTACAGGGTTTGACATTTCTTTCCTATTTAATATCTGTATAAAACTGCTGGGTGAGGTCATCAGTATGTTGCTGTATATCTCAAACTTAATCCTGAACCAGAGATGTGGAAGTTTTAACTTACTGTCTGGAGGCCATTATAGCCTGGGTGGGGGTGAACAAGCTCAGCAAGCGAAATTAGTTATAGGCTTGGTTGCCTTCCAATAACAGGGATATTCTACATGTGGCTCTGGACAATGCCCAAGTTCTGCATGGGATAGGGGTTGCCCTATCCCATGCAGAACTTGTTCGTAACTTGGGTGTTACTTGTTCATAACTTGGGCGTTCTCTTGGATTCAATTCCTGCTTGATAAAAGCAAATGGCAGCTATGGCTAGGAAGGCCTTTGCACATCTTCATTTAGTGTGCCAGTTTCCTTCTGGGTGTAATTCAAGGTGCTGATTGCCACCTTTAAAGTTCTACATGGCTTAGGACCTGGATATATATGGGACAACCTTCTCATTTTGGCTTCTGTCCACACAATAAGATTAGGAAAGTTGGACTTTATCTAGGTCCCTTCTCCTAAAGAGCTTCATCTTCAGGGACTACAGAAATAAGCCCTCCTTCTTTGGAACACGATTCCTTCTGAGATTAGATCCTATCCTATTTTTTGGAAAGCCACTAAAACCTGGCTTTTCCAGAGAATCTTGGAGCAGATTGGTGGTGAGGGGGTTCATCCTGCTGTGGATTGGATGTTGTAGCTGTTGCTCTGTTTTTTGGGGTATAATGGTTTCTTTTTAATTAGGCACTGTTTGTTTTTTTTTGTTGTTAGATTGAGTGGCATATAAATTATAGTAAAATAAATTCAGTCACTTCTCTCAAACTTTATTCAGCTTTCTGAATAAAACTATGTGTCAATTTTACACATTCACAACCCTGAACTCAGTAGCTTTTGAAGAGAACAGAACAGTGAATTGGATCAACTCAGAATAGCAGTCCTAATAATCAACCCAGATTCATAAGGTTGTTGTTAGAGTGACAGCTGTTTGAAATTTCACATGGACCTAATAGCGAGGTAATAGCAAAGAAAGCTACACAGGGCTGCATATGGAGGAAGCAGTCTTATTTAATAGGCCTTTATGTCAGCAGAAAATTATATATTCAGAGCAGCAATTTCCTGTGACCTTTAGAACGACCCAGTACTTACTCTTGATGCTAAAAATGTTTCCCAGATGATTCAGGGTTACTATGCTTCAGCTCCTTTTTGTCACCAAAGTGCTGGGTGACTCTCTCCTGTATCCTTCATTTGCTCTTTGATTTCTAAGACTTCGGTGATTTTAAAAAGCCAAGAATCTTCATGGACTTACACTTTGCTTAGGGAAGGAAGAAGGCAGGGGAGACAATACTAACGGCAGCCGTCGAAGTAATACCAATGGTGGTACTTCTTAATTGCAGCTCTGTATTATCTGTGTCAGTGTTGTCCAAACCTGGCCACTTTAAGATGAGTGGACTTCAACTCCCAGAATTCCCCAGCCAGCATGCTGGC